TTAGCTCCTCAACATGTCCTGAAGTTCTCCAGGCCTGGAAACAAACTAATCATGTGATTCAGGTGTGTTGACCCTAGCACAACAGCAGTGCTGCTGTTTGACTGGTGCTGGTGGGGGGGGGGGAGAGAGAGAGAGGCTGTGCTCGCTGGCAGCTGAACAAAACTCATCTGCTGTAAATGTAATCGCACTGCATCTGTTTACAGCAAGTCTGCTCACGTGCAGTGAAGCTGTGTGCGTGCGTGCGTGCGCGTGCGTGCGTGCGTGTGCGTGTTACGAGGCGTGCTGTCAGCAGTGGCGGCGTGCAGCCCTCATTATTCTGTCGACACGCCTTGTACGGTAACCCAGCCTGTGTGAGTGTATGCATGGCTCGGCGCCAAGCGTAAGGCGCCACTTTACGAGCAGGATGATCTCACCTCGACCCTCCTCTGAACACAGCGTGCATTCAGCAGCGTGTGCAGCTGTGAATGGAGGGCTTGTCTCAGAGACGCTGGGGTGGTGGCAGCAGATGCGCGCTTGTTATACTGGAGCTGTGACTTAATTCTGGAGGTCGTCTCCAGCTTTACCGCCAGCTGCGAGCCAGCCGACGGCAGCGTGGACTGTTGACGAGCTGCTCAGCTAACAAGACGCAACATGTGAGCGGAGCGGCGATTTTCCCTCTGGTTGTGTTTCTCAGAGGTTTTGTGCACAGCAGAGATGTGATCGCGCTGTGTTTGACACCACAGATTTACAGAAGACTTTTTCTTTCTATCCTCATGCTGAGTCTCCACTGCAGCAGCTTAATAACAGAACAGAATAAATGCAAAGCTGAGCGTAGCTCTGCAGGGCTCACAGATCAGTCTGCACAGTCCAGTCCTTGTACCCAACCTCTGACCTATGAACCATTCAAGCTTACCAAGCGTTTCGAACTCTGAACCGGTGTGGAGCAAAGAACCCATTTTAAATGTCGTTACCAGCAGCCTGTCACACAAGGACGCAGTTTGACATCAAATAGAATTAATGTACCAACAGGATGTTGCCCAGAGAGCACCGGTCAGAGTGGCGTGCGGCGCGTCCTTTAGAGCTGCGGAAAGCCGCTGAAAACTGAAGCAGAGGAACAGGATCTGAAAGACCCGACACAGGAGCCGAGAGACCATCTAGACCTTCAGCGGATCATTTGCTGAAGCCTCATCAGAGATGTGAAAGGGTGAGGCTGTCAGGAAGCCATTCTTAATGGAGGATGAGGTCTAAAAACCACAGAAGAGCTGAAGGTCAGAGGAACAGGTCTGATGGAGCGATGGATCCACATCATGGTCAGTGTGTACGAGGAGGTCAGGAGGAGGAGTCTGCAGCCATGCTCTGTCTTGGTTTCAGCTGCAGGTCAGTCGGTGGTGTTTGAGCCACCATGCAGGAACATCTGGAAACATCAGCTTCATGTTTCAGCATGACAGCGATCCAAACAAACTGCCAGTGCATTACAACCTGCATAGAAACACACAGGGGAACTCTGCCAGCATGGCTGGAGCAGAGTGGGATCATCCTGATGGGAAGCCCTCCAGGAAGCCTGGAGAACTGCTCCTGCAGATCCTCGCAGAGCTGACGGAGAGCTGACGCTGCTCACAGCAACTGTACAAACTCTGCTTTTGGCCTTTCCTCCTGAATTCACATGCATGTCTGCACATGTTTCCACTGTCTGAGTGAGCGTTTGAGTAGGAGCTGGTGTTTATAGGAAGCAGTCAGAGAAGGCTTGTTGGAACGACAGAGGTGGAAGTGTCAGCGCGATGCAGGAGAACATCGCTCAGCACGCCGGCTTCATTTTCACCACGGATCAAATCCCAGTTCGTGCCCAGCGGGCCGTGCTGCCGGGTCTGCTTTTAGAGCTTGCATAGAAAGAAAACACCAGGGCCCATATCCCTAAAGAATCTTTGTGCAAAAAGTGGCTCCTAGCGGCCAAATTCTAAGAAAATTCTCAGAGTCATGACGTTTTCTTAGAATTTCCCCTAAAAGTGACACGACAATTTGTGGTGGATCTCCTTAGAGATGCAATTACTTCACCAACTCGACGCCACAACGCTATTACACCGGAGACGAAAGTAATCACAACCCTGAGGTATTTGGCAACCGGGAAAATGCAACAATGCAGCAGTGATGACTTGGGTCTGCAATCACAGACATTGCTAAAAGCTGAGCCGTGTTACCCTCGTTAAGACCACACTGGACTTGTAACGTTGTGATTTCTACTTCATTAAGGACAGCCCCTTGAGAGAGGCCATCTTGTTTTCAACAGGGTCCATATGGGAGTGAAAGTACAAAATATGTCAGCTAGGATATTAATATGAGCAAATAAGACACAAATCATTATTTGAACAGGGTGTAATGAGTTTAAGTTTTCACATATTTTAGATTCTAATGTTAGGCTATAACCCCTACAGCTTACTATTCATTTTCCAGATATTTTCTTGAATGTGAAATATTATTTACAATTACAGTCAGCATAAGATTAGAGTGTATAATTATGTTTATTGATTTGAGGGTACATCCTTTGCTCATTATCACCAAAAGCTCATTTCCATCAAACTTGTAGGATCAACCAATCACGGCTTTTGAAATGATGACTCATACCTAGCAACGGGGTCAACCACACCTCCTCACTAAGATAGGATTTTCCATCCATTCCTTGCTCAGAGTTCACTGAAAATGTTCTGGAATCACTTCTGAGCTAAAACTCCTGGCAAGGAATTTTTAGGTTAAGTTAGGAGCTCTGAGAGGATTCTCTCAGAATCTTTAGGGATACGGGCCCTGGTTTTCATGTGTGACGTGGATGTAGGCTTTCAGTCGCTCTCACTGCCGCTTTGTCAGATACATCTGTGAAAATGCTCATCGGCCAATCACACGGCAGCACCTCTGCACGTGTGGGCACGTGGAGACGGCCTGCTGTGAGACCAGGATGATGAAGAAAGCTGGTTTGAGCGTGAAGGCTGATCTCTCTGACGTTTACAGGGAAAAGGAGAAATATTGCAATATTATCAGTCCTGTAAATGCTTTTTTATAAAACCACTAAAATAAAGTTTACACCTCTTTAAAGATCAATAAGAAATGCTTTTATTACCACGTTTCACTGAGAGAATAAATATCAAATGAAAGTGATATGAAAACCAATAATGGAGTCTGTACAGATAAACACTGTTTGTCATCAGATGACTTCATATGAAATAATCATCAGATCCAAGTATCGGCTGGCGAGTGGCCGCCACAGCTGCAGTTCCTTTGATGACCAGCAGGCGATGACCTGAAGCGAGCGCCAGCGCTGCAGCGTGGATGGAAAACTGAGGCCGAGCCAGCTGAGCACAGGCTCCTCAGTGTCAGCGAGGGTGGAAACACTGTGGAAACACTCCGCTTACTGTGACGCTTTCATTTTAGAAATGTGCTCTTTTCCACACACAATGCTGCTTTCTTTTAACGCAGTCCTGCAGACACAGACCTGCAGCAGCACATGCATACGAGTTATACATGAGCAGATGGGACCTTCGACCCGCTCAGTTAACAAGGCGCCGCCTGTGAAACCGGCAGCGCTGCAGTCGTTCTCTCTTTGACGGAGCCGTTAGACTCGTGTCTAAATCATCACACTGTGTCTGCCATGTGCTCCTTGGTGCACATGTTTACCTTAAAGCGGGCACTAGTAGTGGGTTAATATTCTCATCACTGTAGTAAGAAGATTATTTCCATCTGCTTTCATTTCTGTTCGCACGTCTGGCTGAGTTCTGGGACCTCTGACAGCAATTGAAGCTCCCTACAAAAAAAGGAGGAGCTATGGTGGAGGTGGGTTGCAAAGCAGCTTGCAGGTGCACAGGTTAAGCTTGTTTTTGTCATTTTTGTCTTTTAGCCAACAGTGAAGGTGCAGAGCAGGTGTAGCTGTCACTGGGATGGAGACGCCACAGAGGACAGAGAGGGCTCGATTGTTGATGGTCGTCACATGACTGAACTATAAGTGTGACCCGAGGCAAAAACCAAAAAAATTTCAGTGAAGAAAATGTCTGACTTCAGCGAAGTTCTCACTGAAATGACTCAAAGCTTTGTTTGTTTGAAGGTTTCCAGGTGTGTTTGAGTCCGACTGTGGTCGCTCCATCGGTGGATGCTGATGAAGCTGGAGTAGGTGGAGGTCCACAAAACAGCAGCGCTCCCACTCAGGTAAAAGGATGAAGACGGCGATGATGATGATGAGGTGAACCTCACAGAGGAGCAAAGTGTCCGTCTGCTGATGGCAGCGGTCATGTGACTCAGATTCCCAGCAGGATTCCAGAGAACAGAGAGTCCTGGAGGATGCTGATGGCCGAGCCCGTGGCGTTATCCACAAACACTGACACGTACTCTCCCGCCTGCACACACACACAATTAATACAGACAGATATATTAAAGTTTGTTTAAAAATAAATGACCAAACAGTGACAGTGAGTGAAAGCATTAATGCTGATGTCAGCATTGTGAATCCATTCATGTTGCAGCACATTAGAGCCTTTGTTCAGGTAATACCTGCCGCCTGCTCACCTGAGCTGCAGGATCAGTGAAACCTCTCAGTACCACATGCAGGTGGAACACTGATGTGCTCACGGCTGCATGCCTGCTACTCTGACTCCTTCCTGGTGAGTGACATGCCGAGGATCCCGGGATCACGTGCTGGGATTCTGTGCTTTCTCTGTTTACACGGCGTTTTTTAACTCCAGCTCTAAATGCTGCTCGGGGAGGTTTAGGACTGACGAGCTCGGAGCCAGATCCATGTCACCTGCACAGACCCCGGAGCACGCCGTGTGCATGAATGACCCACGCCACTGTTTCTATTGAAGCGGCACTAACAGAATGAAAACAGGTTTGCTCTGTATTTACATCTGGAGCATCTCCAGCTGTGCACCAGAGGCATTAATGTGCAGCTGCAATAAGACACACCTGGACTATAACATCAAGTCTTCTCTGGATTTTAGGACTCGGAGTGTTTCACATGCTCTGACTTGCTGAGTCGTGCAGAAATCCTGCTCGTGTTTTACTTGTTGCTCGAGGTTTCATGTGGTCGTTAAAGAATCCAGGTGATCTGACAGTGTGACATGATTTGGAGGCGGGGACTGGACATCGTCCATCTTTTTATGTAGGATTCTTAGAGTAGTGCGTCCTCCCGTCACATAATGTCTCTGTTAAAGGTGCTGCATTAGCTCCCTGTAAACGCCTGGCTGTGCTGTTCTGTGTGGTGTGTTTTGGTGTAGGGCGACCCTCTGATGCTGTCCTACCTGCAGGTACAGCGTTCCTGTTAGCAACATGCTAAACGTTCCTCCGGCAGCTGCCACGCCCATCACCGACTCCACAGAGCTGTACAAGAAACAGCAAAAAACATCCAATCAGTGCCATGGGCAGGGCTAACATCGCCAGTCATGTGTGTGCAGTAGATTATTTTATAATGAAATAATAACAGCTGTCAGAGGACGGGCACTCACAGGTTGCTCTGGCAGAGCGACTCGATGCAGATGGCTGCTTTCACGCTGTCTCTGAGTCGCACCTGCACTCTGTCACCAGACTCTGTCACACATACGCACATCAGAGTTACAAGAGCATCCCTGCTGCCTGCTAACCGGCTCCTTCCTCTTATTTGAGTTTCTTAATTCATCAGTTTTCTGTCTCAAACACAATGAAATATCTGAATGAAATTTGGTGTAAATATAATTATGATCAGGGGCGGATCTACAGGGGTGGTGCCCCATGCCACCCCTTCAGATCCACCCCGATCATGATGTGGCCGATCAGCTGAGTCCGTCACCATCTCGATGTTTGTGCTCGTCGGTGTTGGGCAGAAACAGAATTCATGTACCAGCATAACGTAATTAAAAATACAAAATATGAGTAACTGTATTTTGTTACAGTTACCGTTTAAAAAGGTGATAATCAGAACACAGCTACTTTGTTGAAATATATGGATTAATGTTTCATATGTTAGGCTATGCCCTCTCTAATGTCAGCGTCCTGTTAATGTTGGTGGGACCCGGAGCCAGCACAGCAGAGCCAGCAGTGCACGGGCAGGAATGCATTTCTTACTAGGAAAGTCCGAAACCACATTTAAATGAGAGAGGGATGAAATCTGAGCGTGCAATGCAAACTCTGTTTGTCAGCAACCGAGCTGCTCTCAGCGTCAAAGACGCCAACCTAAAGAAACATCTGGAAGTACGTTCTGTTTAAAAACTAACATTAGCCGACTGCAGCTAGCTTGTTTTAGCTGTGGTAGCTACCTGGGTCATGTGCCACTTCAGTATCTGTGATGTACTGTTGCTATTACTGAAGGCTACTCACCACCGAGCTAACACTGTTAGCTGGCGTTAGCTGAGGTTAACAGACAGAAAGATGACTGATACAGAAATTTAACATGAAGGCAGCAGGCAGAATGCTACAGGCACCGCGCTAAACAATGCAGCCTGATGGGCAGTGTAGTCCGTGCTGCAGGAAGAATGGACCGCCATACTCGTTATGTGTCTGTGAGCGAGGGAGGGAGAAAAAGGAAAAGTGCGAGCTGTCACGGAGCAGAAACAGGAGCTGGAAGCATGTAAATATATTAATAACCACTGCAGCCAAGAAGAGAGCCTGACGAGCCCAGTTGTAAGTAAGCTGTTAAGACTCGACTGTGTTCGTGTTTCCTCTGAAACAATAAGTTCTGTTGGAGCAGCCTTTCAACGCCTCTCTCTGTCTCTCGCTAGCAAAGTTGACCCAGACAACAAAGT